TAAAAATAGGGAATTGGCTACCAACCAATGATATATCTCGTCCAAGCTAACTGCCACATCATTAAAGCATTGGATCAATAAAAATTTCGCTTCTAAGTTTCAATAAAATGTCTACATGATTTTCACAATGAAATAACATTTTAAAACAGAAGACATAGTTGCTCTAGTTATTACCTTTTTAAAGAAATAAAAGGGGATGAAGAAACTGCATGTCAGGCAGAAAGGTATTTTGTTTTATTTTTTAAAGATTTATTTTATTTTATGCATACAAGAGCTGGGGCACAGACCAGAGGTGTGGGAGGTGAGAGGATTCACCAGAGACAGAGTGGGGAACAGAACAGGTAGACTGACTGAAGTACACTGCTGAGGGGAGCAGCAGGCCAGTCAGGAAAGGTCTGCTGAGCCATGTGGGTTGCTCCCTGGTCAGCCGGGGGATCGAACTCGTGCTGCAGAGGCTGCAGATAGTGTCATAGCTTGCATCTTAACCCCCTGTGCCACCACGGAGGCCCCCAGAGAGGTATTTTAAGTATATCACCACATTGATTTTCTTAGCAAAACTGAACTAGGGTTTTATCTTCCCCATTTCAATAATGAGGAAACCAAGGTTAAAAGAGGTTAGTAACTTGGTCACACAGGACTGGCTAAAGTGAAACTCAGGCGCAGCAGACCTCTCCTGCCTCGCCTGCTGCGCCCCTCAGCAGTGTATTTCAGTCTGCCTATTCTGTTCCCCACTCTGTCTCTGGTGAATTCTCTCACCAACCCCCAACCCCACACCAGTTCTTGTATGCATAAATAAATAAATCTTTTAAAAAATAAAATAAAATGAAACTCAAATGGAGATCAGTTTCACAAAAGACTGCATTCCGTATAATGCTAAATCCACTTATATGAAGTTCAAAACCAGTGTATAATGATATGAAACATCTAACATGATAAAGTCAGAATAATGGTTCCCTCAAGGGGATGGATACTGACTAGAAATGAGTACAGACACATTTTGAGGTACCAAATATGTTGAATTTCTGATCTAGGTGGTAGACATACAGATGAGCTGCATATTTATTACTAGGACATTTCACAAACTTCACTGTGCGCTATACTTCAGGAAAGAAAAGAAAATCCTCATGTAATCAACTCCAAATTCATATTCTTAACCACCAAACCACTACACAGTCACTCTGATAGAACCTGGTCACATTCTGAAACCGATTCCCTTGGATAATCAGTTTTTACAAACATTCTGGTAAGCAATGTGCAGCTTAATCACACCAGATGAAGACACTGGAACAATAAACCTGTTTCTAAATGCCACAGAATGAAAAGTTCAAAGTATCGATTTCCTGGCTAACTGGAAATTTCCCCTTGGTAGCCACATCAGAACAAGAAACAATTATAAACCCTATTCTAAAGCAATGTTTACAGAAAGTAATATGTAGAATTTTCTATGGAAATATCTAAAGCTAAAATTACACAAAATATTTCAAGACATCTTATAATTTTATCACCAAAGCAAACTCTCAAAAGAAGTTCAAATTTTGTTTCCAAAAATAGATGACAAAACCAATGATGGTCAAAGAGCATAAAACTCACAGAAGGGGCTAGAGATAATGAGTGCAAAATCTCACCTCACAAATTACAAAACTCAGTACAAGTGGCTGTTTCTAGGAGTAAAGTAAGCATACCCTATAGGCTCTAATAACAAATTCCCCATCAAGTAACAAGTTCCTCCCACCTAAGTTTTTGTTCAGACTAGCAGTGTCTCATCACCAGCAAGTGATGATGCAATCATTACATCAGTTCTCTCAAAGACTTACCCCACACATACACACACCTCTTATGCAAACAGTAATTGCCTCTCCAGAGAGAGGAATTTATCCATCCAACAATTTGGAGACATATTTGGCTAGAACCTAGTAACAGTTATCCCACCTTAGAGGAGAGGAAGGGGCAGGGAAAGGATCAGCTAGATCCACAACTGTGCTGTCTTCTTCATTGGGTGCTTTCTACCATGCAGCCAGGAAACACAACTTTCAAATTATCTAAGCCCAGTTTCAAGGTTTAAAATTCTGAATACATTAAAACAAACAAACAAACAAACAAACAAACAGGCAACTCATTGAAATGATTTTGTTTCCTTTGGGCAGTTTGCATATAAGACCAAAAAAAGCCTTTGTGAGAAATTTTCAGCATGGTAATTTCTGTACCACCATTCAGTATGTAGCAATAGATTACATAATAAAATATTATCCAGTTGCAAAAACCTCAATGTTTATAGAAGTAACATTTGCATTTGTTAATTTTCAGTTTTTAACAAACTTCCATAAAACTGTCCCAAGAAACTGAGTTAAATACTGTGATTATTAATAAAGTTAGAAGTAAAAGGACTGACCCAGTACGTTACAAATAGAACATGCTTCAGGCACTTTCACAGCTTTGGGTCAGCATCCTTAAGTTACGGTTTTCAAAACAAAAACGAAACCTCCAGATTCACTGCAAAACATGGACTCAACTTTTCTGTTATCCCTGCACAACTAAAAAAGCTCCACACAGTCTATCCAGAACATCTTAGCTTTATATCAACAATGAATAATGTAAACAAAAATGATTAAGAATTTCTTGTATTCCCATTCATTTCTTAATGTAACTCCTGAAATAGTCACACATTAAAACAAACAGTACAGTGAAAAACCAACCATGAATTATCAGTTCTACTTTCCTGTTTGTAGCAAAATTTTAGTATCTTAGAATCAGAGAAATGTAAATTGTTTCTTACGAGAAAAAAAAAATCCTTAAAACTATATATACACTCACCTATATATACTCACGTCTATATACTCACCTCTTCATCAGAAACCCGGAATGGGGAATAATCATAATTTTTACAAGTGAATTGTGTTTGTTCTCCTCCAAAGATTACCTCATCCTAGGATTTTAAAAACCTTAATCTGCATCTGCCAAATTTGGCTGATTTCAGTCTCAGGCAAATCTAAACAGTCCCCACAGGGTTACTGTTTTAGGTAAGGGGAAGTTGATTGCAGGAGGAACTTCTATATTGATTACACAATGATCAACACTTACTTAAGCACTTCTTAACTTCCATAATGCAAAACTGGGAATTTGGGAACCATTATCCTATTTGCCCTCAAAAACAATCTTGCAGAACAGACATTTGCATCCCCAAAACCAGATACAGAAATGAGGCTGGGATGAAAAATATGTTGCCCAAGGTCACTGTACAGGATGCAGCAGAATCGAGAGCAATTAACAGCGAGAGTGGAAACTCAACTTTCATGGACAAACAGGCTTTTATCATACACATGCAATCCACACAAAGAACTAAGTGAAGAGTAGTGAGCACCTGCTATAGGAGGATTCCCAATGGAAACCATAATATTCCAAACTGAAAAAGTAATTTCACAGAAGCTAAAGGTTTTGTAAAGGCCGGGCAAGGGACAAAGATTTCCTGAAGTTGAGTTCTACAGGGCTGCTGCACTTTAAAATCTAATCTGGTTTAAGAGTACGGAGACTCTATGTAACACTCAAATTCCACCAGGCTTAATAACCTCTATGAAAAAAAAACAGCCAGAACTAGGACAGTGGGAAGAAGTGACAGCCCAGCGCTGTCCTCTCTCAGGGTCTGCAGTCAGCTCAGGGGTAGCGACCAGGAGCCGACATGGGAGACCTCGGATTGGGCCCAACTCTGGTCCACCCGCCCTCCCCAACTTCCTGGTCCAGTCCTGGCCCAGTCGGTCACCTTGTTAACCATCCCATCACCTCTGAGGCACAATTATTCTGTAAGAATCTGTTATAACTAGCAGAAGCCTATATTCATCTGGCTCGCAAGCTAAAATCTACAGCAAGGCTCCAAGATGGGAGGAGCAGGAGAATGTGGTCTAATTGTTCTGAACCATCTTCTACGAAGTTGGGGAGGTTCGGGCGTCCCTAGGGCTTTGGGGAGCAAAGACAAACATACCGTCTCCTGTTTTAGGCAGGAGAGTCTCCATATAATCTCATCCAGGTTTATAAAGTTACGTATTATTTTCAGAGAGGAATTTTCACACTGTGACATTTCTGGGGAGTCTCGCGACTGTGCCTCTCCTCTTAATGTGGAGACCGCAGGTTTTGCGTGTACTGGGACTAGAGTATAAACTGCTCTAGCCTAGAAATTAAGGTGACTCGGTTTTGTTGCCTCTAGAAGGATCCGCCTGCCGTTCCCGGGCAGCCGCCAGAACCTGCACCCACAGCCCTGACAGGTACCCCAGCCAGGGCTCCCACACCCACCCTTCCCGCTTAGTATTTTGGGGAGCACGGCTTTAAGCTCCACGCAACACCCACCCTCCCCCTCTCCAGGTCTCAGACAAAATAAGTCTAGTTAATCATTCAACGAGGGCGGCGGGGAATATTTTTTTAGAGGTCAAAGCGAAAGGCTCTCCCTAAATTTCGCTGAAGCCAGCCCTCGGGGACCCGGGGGTGGCAGCGGCAGGCGGGTGGGGGCGGGGAGCGGCTGCCGGCGGTTCCGAGGCGCGCGGACACCTGACCTGGCCCTGCGGCACCGAGGCCGGGCCGCGCGGCGGAGGGGAGGGGGCACGCGGGCGCGGAAGCCAAAGGCAGCGCAGGCCCCCTGCCCCGAAATGCAGGCGCAACCCGGACGCCGCCCCCGAAAACCTGCATCACCGCCCGCGGGCTTCCCCGGAAGTTGGGGTGTAGCGGGGCGGAGGCTGCTCCCCCTCGCGGGGTGACGGGATGGGTGAGGAGTGGGAAGCGGGGCAGGGGACTGAAAAGACTCGGGGCTGCGGGTTCCCTCCTGTCCCTCCAGGGAAGCGGGGGGTGCGGGGGGGCGCCCACTGCGGCAGAAGCCACCGGAACAGCTGCGCCCGCCGGGCGCCCGCTCCACGCCGGAACCCGCCCGGGACGGTCCAGGGTGGAGGGAGCGCGGCCCGGCGCCGGGGGGGGGCGGGGGGGAAACTGAGGCGACGGGCGCGCCTCCGCCCCGGCCTCACCTTGTCCGGGAGCAGCTCCTGCTCGGCGGGCGGGGGACGGGAGATCGCGGCCGCATCCACGTCCCGGCCGCTCGGCGCGGCTCAGCCCGGCGACCGGCGCCGCTCACGCTCCATGCGCTGCGCCTGCGACGGGGGCGGGACGGTGGCCGCGGCGGCGGCGGGCGCGGGCGGGGACGGCTCCGGCTCCGGCTCCTCCGGGCTCCGGCACTTGTTGCCGCCGCGGCCGCTGCGCCTCTCTCCCGGCTCCGGCTCCCGGCGCCGCCGCCGCCTGGGGCGCCCCGGCCCGCCCGCCCCGCCCACGAGGACGCGCCAATCAGGCCCGGCGCCGCCCCTCGCGTCACGGCGGCGGGGCCTCCGCCCGGCTCCCAAGTTTGGGGAAGGCCCGGCTCCGGCCCTCGGCCCGCCCGCGCCGGCACCCGCCCGGCTCCGCGCCCCCCGGCTTCCGGGGAGCGCACCTGGAGAGCCAGGGTGAAGCTAGGGGCGGGGGGCCGCAGGAAGTACACCCCTCGGGGACACGCGGCAGCCGAAGTTTAAATAAACTGTTTCCACTCGCTCTCACCTAAATCCCTCCGGCTGCAGGTCACTCCATTCGCAAAATGTCTGACGGTGGAGGAATCCGCGCATTGCCCGACGAGGACGCGGGTGGCCTTTTCCGGCCGGAGCCCGCTGTGACCCGGCCTGGACGCCACCCCTGGCGCCTCTCGAGTATTCCGGGGCGCGCGCCCCCCAGAACTCACGATTCCACAGCGAAGTTGGAACGGGGCACCCAAGGCCAAAGTGGGACTTGACCATTGTTCTCTGCCCATCCGCTTGGCCACTGTTACCTGCTGCCACCGATCCGGTGCCCCGTACCCCCTGGGGTAGTGCCCGACTTGGCGCTGCCCCCCGGCCTCTGCTTTACGGAGCCGCGCGGGACACGGCGGCGCGGAGTGGGCGGGCGTCGCCCTCCTCCTCGCGGTGTCCCGCACGGGATGTCCCCGAGGTTCCACGCGTGTCTCCGAAGTCGGTGGTGCAGGGTGCCCAGAGCTTGGGTCGTAAACCAAGGGGGTTGGGAGGAGACCCAGGTAGGTGCAGCTTAGGTGGCCAATGTCTGACAGACCCGCCAGCTCGCCCGGGCCAGGTGGGGGCTCGGCGCCAGTGATGCCCGCTGGTCGGAGCCGCGAGACCACCGCCGCGCCCTCCTAACCCAGCGCCCCCGAGACTCGCCGAGCACTGCCTTCTAAGGTAAATCACAGCAACTGTTGACCCAACTCTGGGGACCCCAGCTTAGTCCCGCGAGACCGGGTGGAGAAGTTGTCCTAGTTTGAAAGGCCTGGCTCAGCCACCTCGTCCCCTGGGGACTCCGCCGCGAGGCGGGTCTGTCCTCGGGCGCTCCAGAAAGCTGCTCCCTCCCTCTGTCCTCCGAGAAGAGAGCGATCCCTCCTAGATTATCACACGGAGGAATTAAGGACTCTTCACCTACCCACCCCCAGCGATTTGCATTTTTCAGAAGGCTTTCAGAGGCACAGTTAATCACAAGAGAAGGAATTGCCAATGTGAGCATTGCTGGCACCTAAAAGCTCAGCCAAATCACTCGAATATCAATCCTTACTCTATGCCTGGAGCCACGTGGGTGTGGTTCTCTAGAAACAAGAATTCTGAGTCAAATCTGGGGAAAATATGCTTTGCAGCCTGCAGTCCCTTTTGCTTTTATGTTGATCACATGAGTCTCTTTAAGACTGAGATGTGGAGTCCAAAAAACAAGTCGCATTTTTGTATATTCATAGAAAAACATCTGGAAGGATGCCTACCGTTAACTAGGGTTACCCCAGGTGTGGGAAGGGGACATGAATTGTATACCCTTGTTGACTTTGAATGTTGCATTTTTCCAGATATATTATTAACTTTCACACTTTAGAAAACTAATAAAACATTTTTCAAGAGACAGAAAATATAAATTCTTTAAGAACTTGACAGAAATTATAGCAAGCAAATGAAACCTATGTTTGTCATTTTGTGCCAAAATAATTAATCCTGAATCCATTATTTGGTTTAAATAAAGTCGTCTCTGAGCTGCTGTTCTCATATTTGAATGCTATGTTGGGACAAAATTGACATCTGAAGAAGATTTTTCTGTGTCATCAATTTGGTGTATTGTGTCTGTGCATGTCTTCCCTTTAAATGAACTCCCAGTAGCCACATATTCTCAGCCAAGGAGTTTTTAGTAAAGAAACTGCTACAGTGTCAGCTTGCAACTGAAAAGGAAAATATGCTATGTCCTTTGAAGCTGTCAAAAAATACCCTCAAATTTTAAAAATAAAGGACAAGGGGCCTCCCTGGTGGCGCAAGAGGTTAAGTCTCAGCACTGTGAAGCCATTGGCAGCCACTGCAGCAAGAGTTCCATCACCGACCAGGGAGCTTCCACATGGCACAGCAGACCTCTCCTGTCTGACCTGCTGCTCCCCTCAGCAGTGTGTTTCAGTCAATCCACCTGTTCTGTTGCCCACTCTGTCTCTGGTGAATCCTTTCGCCCCCCTGCACCTCTAGCGTGTACTCCAGTTCTTATATGCATAAATAAATAAATCTTTAAAAATAAATAAATAAAGGACATTTTCTCCATTAATTAATATACCTGGGAGTATATCTGTGTCTTTGGGCAAATGCTCATATGCTAAATTCCATACCAGTTTGGCTATAATCTCTTCTCTTAGATTGGGGCCTGGGTCCATTTTCAGTAGTAAAGATATATTCATTTATTTTAAAAATATGTATTGGCAAAGATCTACAGAGAGCTCACACAATTCAACAAAAACAAAGAAAACAGTCCAGTCAAAAAATGGGCAGAAGAGCTGAAAAGACACTTCTCCAAAGTGGAAATGCAAATGGCCAACGGGTATATGAAAAAATGTTCAACATCACTTATAATCAGGGAAATGCAAGTCAAAAACCACAATGAGATACCACCAGCAACAATGGCACATATTAAAAAAACAGGAAACAACAAATGTTGGCGAGGAAGTGGAGAAAAAGGAACTCTCCTACACTGCCCATGGGAATGCAAACTGGTCCAACCACTATGGAAAGCTGTCTGGAGTTTCCTCAAACTACTAAAACTGGAGCTTCCATATGACCCAGCATTTCCCCTCCTAGGAATCTACCCAAAGGACACAAAAACAATTCAAAGGCGACCTGCACCCCTATGTTTATTGTGGCACTGTTTGCAAATAGGTAAGATATGGAAACACCCCAAATGTCCAAAAATAGATGACTGGATCAAGAAGATGTGGTATATATACACCATGGAATATTACTCAGCATTCAAAAAAGATAAACTCATGCCATTTGCAACAACATGGATGGAGCTGGAAGGGATTATGCGCAGTGAAATAAGCCAAAAGGAAAAAGAAAAATATCAGATGATTTCACTTATAGGAGGAATGTAGGGAAACCAAATAAGGGACTGGGGAAAAAATTACAATAAATCAAAAAACAAAATAAACAGGCAACTATTAATCAGAGACAGTGCAGGAGACAGGTAGAGAGAGGGATCAAAACAGGGGAGGGAATGTGTTCTTACACAAGGGACTATGGTGATGGTGCATGGGGAGACTTGGTGGTGGGAATTTTGTGGGGACTACACCTGAGAGGAGAAAGCACGCACTGTACAAAAAGGAAGAATGATGTAAAAAAATATATATGTTAAAATTAAATTTAAAAATAAATAAAATGTTAAAAAAAAAAAAAACCATGTTGGCCACCAGGAAGTGCACAGCAGAGATGATAAATATGGTAGACACGTTGTTTTAGAGCTCACAGCCTAACTAAAGAGAGGGGTCTTAACAAATGCACTAGCAATTATGTAATTACAGGGGTGCTATGGGCCAAAAGGTATACACAAAGTAGCAAGACCATTTGTCTCGGAAATCTGAAAGGAGTTGACATTTGAGTTGAGATTCAATGCGGAGTAGGATATAATCAGGCAAAGCAGATAATGGAACAGGCTTCTTGACTGGCTTGGGCTACAAATGGGATGGTGGTTGTGGGGAGGCTGGAGAAAAAGGCAGAGGTCAGATTATGTAGGACCTAGTATACCGTTTTCAGTATCCCTGGCTGCATTGTGAAAAAAGAAGTAGGGGTGGGGTGTAGTGGGATGAAGTGACAGGTAGGAAGCTGTTACTATAATGTAAATGAAAGGGACCATTTTGTAGACCGTAGAGCAAATGGAAAGAAATAGACACCAGCAAGACTTGATGATTGCTTAACTAGGAAGAAATCAAGGAAAATTCTCAGGTCTGTGCTTCTTGGACTACATGGATGACTGTGCCATTTTCTGAGTTGGGGGATCCTTGGGGAGAAGGGTTGAGGAAACCTCATGGCAGGCATTCACATTTGATCGAAGTGGGTTTGAGGGGCCTGAGAGATGTCCTAGTGAAAAGGTTGAGTGGTTGGGTGGTTGTAGCGGCTCATGCTCCATGAAGAGGCGAGGGCTGGAGTAGTTGATGATTAGGTAATAATAAAGCTGTGAGAGTAAGGGGGTTCTCCTAAGAAGGTGTAGGGTAAACCAGAAAGGGCCTAGGGCTGAGGCTTGAGAAACCCTTATCTAAAGCCTGGACAGAGGTAACGTATTCCAAAGACAAGTTGGAGAAGCAGCCACAGTGATGAGAAGCAGTTTTGGGGTGGGATTGCAGAGGGCAGGGAAGGGACATGTTATAAAAGGAGGGAGTAGTCAGTTACACTTAAAATGACTGAAAACACAGGGAAATGAAGACTAAATAATATCCACTTGCTTGATCGACCTTGGTGTCAGTGGGACTTTTAAAAAGCGGTAACTAGAATGAAGGGGTGAAAGATAGACCAGAGTGGATTGAGGTGAAGAAATGAAGAAAGGCATGAATGTGGGCAATCTTGAAAGGTTTGACAGTGAAGGATCAGAGAATGAAATGAGAGGAATGCTATTTCAGGAGTATGCTTAATTTTTGTTTATATATTTTTATTATACTTTTTATGAATAGAATAACTTGAGTGTGTTTAAATGCAGGTGGGGAGGACCCTATAGAGAAGAGGAAGAGAAAGCCACATCAGAAAGAGGACCATGGACAATAAAT